GGGGGTTCGTCCACTAGGGGGCTGTCCAGGCTGCAGCGTTGGCGTTGAGGTCGTGCAAGAAGCTGGGGGGCCCTGGCTTACGCCAGTCTGGGGGGGGCAGTAGGGGAGCACCGGTGGCTGGGGGTGAGGGAAGAGGCCAGAGGTCCAGGGTGGGGTGGGGGAGATGGAGATGGAATAAAACAGGTGAAGGGTCAACGGTGAGGACACTGGGGGCGTGGGTCTGGGAGGGAGGTGGTGTGAGGCCAGGGGTGGGGGACGTCCAACACCTCCTCCCCCATCGTCCCAGGCCCTCTCTCCTGGGTGGGGGAGAGAGGGAGGGATTCGGGTCCAATGGGGGGCGCCTTACCTTTTCGGATGGAGCCGTCAGGGGACGGGGCGTAGTCAGTGAGCAGGAAGCAGGCCCGGTCACGGCTGTAGCGGCCCCGACTGCCCGGGGTGATGGGGCTCTTGTCTTCCGGGGACATGGCAGGCTGGTCGATGGCTGGGCAGTCCTCGTGGGCCAACGCAGCTGCTGCCGGATCCCCATTGGGGCGAGGATCTGTGTCCCAGGGGGTGGGGGTCACACAGAGACACAAAGGCGAGAGTGACGTGTGGGGACTCGGATAGTGGGCAGCAGGGAGAGGGGTTCGGAAGAGGAAGATGATGGCTTTGGAAATAGGTGGTGGGTGGGAGTAGGTGACTGGAAGTAGGCAGAGCCTTGGGATGGGGCACAGTGGGGAGCGGGATACGAAGAGCGGCTGGTGGCTCTAGGGAGGGGACCACAGTGGGCGTGGTGAGCGTTGGGAAGAGCACCCGGGTCAGGAAGGGTGACGGAGCTGGTTGAGGCTGGTTGAGGGGAGGCGTTGCGTGTTGGGAAGGGCAATGGGTGGAGTATTGTGGGGGACTGCAGAGTTGGAGGGGCAGGTGTGAAGTGCTAGGAAGTGGTCACTGGGTCAGGTGTTGGGGGCTGGGGCCAGGCGAGACTGGGTAGGGTGCTGGGGGCCAGGAAGGAGCCCACAGTAGGGCACTGGGTGGAGGTGGGTGGTTCCAATGAGCTGGGTGTGGGGTGCCGGGAAGGGCCTAGGGGAGGTCGCGGAGGCTGGGAAGGGCCTAGGGGAGGTCGCGGAGGCTGGGAAGTGGTTGCTCAGGGAGGGGAACTGGGTGTTGTAGAGGGCACAGTGGGGAAGGGTTGGAAAGGTGACACTTGAGGGAGGGGGGAGGGGGGTCCCCCAGGCTCTGAGTCGAGCTATTTTTAATGGGTGTGAAACTGGGTCAGCGGCTGAGGGAGCAAGAAGGGGGGACTGGGCGGCCCCACTCCCTTCCTTGACCTACTTAAGGCCGGGGGGTGGGGCCCACCAGCCTCTGCCTCTTCTCAGACACCCAAATCCTGGCCTCTCGGAGGCCCAGACTCTCCTGGGGGGAGGGGCTCACACACACACACACTCAGTTCACCTTCTCGTCCCCTCATCTCCCTTCATCACAGCAATGTCTGTCTGGCCTAGACCCTTCTCAGCCTCTTACCTGGAGGGCAGGCGGGCAGGCAGAGCCCACAGGGCTCCAGGCCCCAGGACGCTTTCAGCCACGTGACTGGCCACCTAACCCTGACTCTGACCCTCTGGGTCTCTGCCCTGTCGTGGTTTTGAGGTTGGTCTTCCTTATGCCCACTGTCGCTAGAAGCCTGGCCTCTCTGCTCATTCTTTTTTCTTCTCATTCCTTTTGCTCCAAGTCCCGCCTCTCTGTCCTCAGTGACAATCTTGGTCTCTGGCTTCCCTGCCTCGGGTCGTGGGTTGTAAACTCTGGGATGCCCTCACCTTCTGTGGCTGAACCTTGGCTCCGGTCTCTGGTCTGCCCGACTCGTGTATTCAAGCTCACGTGGGAATCGCTCTCTCTCTGAGTCTCTGCTGACGATTCTGCCTCCCACTGCCTCTGCCTTTTGGAGCCCGCTGGGCACCTGGCTGCAAGCCTGTCTCTCCCCAGAACCGTCTCTTTCAAGCAAAATCCGGGCCCGTCTTTCCATGCCGTGCCCTCAGCTCCTGCCGTTTCCCCTCCTCTCTGGCCCTGGCCACCCTCAGCAGCGACTCCGCGGCGCCCTCAGAACCTCTCCACCTCTGCGCCCTGGTCTCTGTCCAGCACCCGCCCGCCTCCCTCCGGCCGCCGCCCCCCAGCTCACCTGCCCGGTTGATCTCAATCACCTCTTCCTGAGCCAACGGGCAAGGCTCCCCAGGGGCCGGCAGAGGCGGCAGCCCCATGATCCCAAGCCCCCCCGCTCCCCCCCTGAGCAGCCCGGGGTGCGTGTGGGGCCCCGGTGGGTAGGCCCCGGCCACAGTCACCCCCACGGAGGGTGGGGTGATGGGGGGCGGGGGGCTGATGCCGCCGCTGCCGTGGTGCGGGTGGGGCGGCGGCGGCGGCGGCGGGGGCGGCTCGGGCTTGCAGTAGTTGGGCGAGCCGGGCTGCGGGGGCCGGGGGATGTGTTTGTTCTTTTTCTTGGGCAGCTTCTGCTTGGCCATGGCCAGGGAATAGTACATGCCAAAGTTGTTGACGATGACGGGGACCGGCATGGCGATGGTGAGCACCCCCGCCAGGGCACACAGCGCCCCGACCAGCATCCCCGACCACGTCTTGGGGTACATGTCGCCGTAGCCCAGCGTGGTCATGGTGACCACGGCCCACCAGAAACCGATGGGGATGTTCTTGAAGTAGGTGTGGTTGGAGCCCAGGATGTCGTCGGGGTCGGCGCCGATGCGCTCCGCGTAGTAGATCATGGTGGCGAAGATGAGCACGCCGAGCGCCAGGAAGATGATGAGCAGCAGGAACTCGTTGGTGCTGGCGCGCAGCGTGTGGCCCAGCACGCGCAGCCCCACGAAGTGGCGCGTCAGCTTGAAGATGCGCAGGATGCGCACGAAGCGGACCACGCGCAGGAAGCCCAGCACGTCCTTGGCGGCCTTGGAGCTGAGCCCCGAGAGCCCCACCTCCAGGTAGAAGGGCAGGATGGCCACGCAGTCGATGATGTTGAGGCTGCTCTTGAGGAACTCCACCTTGTCCGGGCAGAAGGTGATGCGCATGAGGAACTCGAAGGTGAACCAGACCACGCACACGCCCTCCACGTACGTCAGGAAGGGCTCCGTCTCCACCTCCACGTTGGTGATGTTCTCGGGCGGCGCCCCGGGGATGGGCGAGGCCTGCGTCACCGTCTTGTTGCTGATGTGAATGAAGCCCTCGTGGGTCTCCAGGCAGAAGGTGGTGATGGAGATGAGGATGAAGAAGAGCGAGGCGAAGGCCACGTACTGCGAGGCAGGGCGGGAGAGAGGGTGAGACGTGACCGACCTGGCCATCTGGTCTACCAGCGCCTGGGAACAAGCCCACCAGGACCCCAGCTCCCTAGCCCCAAATGAGGGGGAAATCCAGGTGTCCCAACCCCTAGCTCCCTCACTTCCTGCATCCTGTTCTCTCCTCCAAAGATGGCAAAGCTGGGGGCCGGCGAGAATAAAGGCAGCCCTCCCCAGCAGCCCTGCAGAGAAGCTGGCCCCAGCCAAGGCAGCAGATGGGCCGATCTCTCCCTGCGAACAGTCATCCCTGGCCCTTTGCTCTATCTCCCTCCTGTTTCCTGCGTCCTATCTCAGGACTCCCAGGCAGGGCCCAAGGGTTCTGTGATGGATCTGGGAAATTAAAGTCACACCCCCTCTGTGTCCCAGAGACCATGGGTCTCAGCTTGGAGCTGGGGGAAGGGGAAGGGGAGAAAGTGGATGGGGAGGCGGAACCGTGAAGTGGTGAACATGGCTTTCCCTCTGCCTAACTCGGGCAACAGCTGCTCACAGAAAGGTCGGCGGTTCGAACCCGCAACCCACCAGCCGCTCCGTGGGAGAAAAGCCTGGTGATAGGCGTCTGTAAAGTCTAGACAGCCTGGGAAGCCCTACGGGGGCAGTTCTACTCATCACCTGGGGTCGCTATGAACCAGAGTTGGCTTGAACGCGCACCACAACAGCAGCAGGAACAGCTCTGAGGAGGCTCCAGCTTCTGCTCCTCGAGTTTTTCCCGGGATTATGACGGTTACACGAGGGTACAAAGGGTTAGGCTCCAAATGCAGTGGAGGACAGGAAGAGCATTTGAGGTGTTGTCGGGACATGCAGGCCTGAGTGCGGAGGGGACATGGTGGAGGTCTCAGAGAAGGCAGGCCCAGGATTAACGGTCCTTGAAAGGAGATGGTGCCTAGTTCCAGGACCCGGAAAAGGGAAAAGGCTGGCTGGGGACTTAACCCAGAAAGGACAGGGCAGGGGAGGGGAAGGGAAGGGTCTTAAAGTGTGGAAGAGGGTGAATGGCTAAGATTGCAAACAGCGGAGAGGACGCAGAATGGGGAAGGGGCCCAGGTTTAAGGTTCTGGAGGAGAAAGGGCAGAGGCAGGGGCCTGGACGCTGGGGGAGAGAACGAGGACAAAGAAGGGCTGGGGGCTGTAGGCACGGGTGCAGGGGAGTGGGCTTGATCAGATACTGGGGGGCATCACGAGCAAAGGAGGAGCGTGAATCAGCTAGGAAAGGCAGAGTGAAAGCCTGGGAGGGGCAGGGGCCCAAGGTCAGCCTGCTGAGTGGACCCTAGACCTTGGGGTGGGCCAGGCCCAGCACTGCCTCTCTGCACCCCCTTCTCTGTGGGGTGAGAGGGCAGGTTCTGGCCTTGGGGAAGGCTTGACTTTAACCAGAGATGCAGAGCAGAGAGGGGGAGTGTCGAGTTCCACAGTGGATCCTGGACCTCGGGGTAGGCCAGGGTCCGAACTGGCCCTCTCTACCACCCCTCCACCTTTCTCCGCAGTGGTTTAAGGGGCCAGAGGCCGCCGCACAGCGCATGCCCGGTACTCCCCCGCCCCCTCTGAGCCGGACGCGCGGCGCAGGCTGCGGCACCGCAGTGGGGGCGGGCCGGCC